CTCTCTCTCTCTCTCTCTCTCTCTCTCAAAAAAAAAAAAAAAAAAAAAAAAAAAAATCAAAATAAAAAATAAAAGTCTAAGCGTAAACCTTTCTAGCGACCTTAATCCCTTCCTCTCACTCACTCTCAGGAACGCTGTGTTGATATCACTGAGGATTGAGGATTGAGGCTTGAAGCTTGAAGCTTGAGGCTTGAAGCACAGCATTGGAGATGGGAGGAGCTAGAGAGGGAGGAGCTAGAGAGGGAGAGGAGAGGGAGTTAGAGAGGAGAGGGAGAGGGAGGGGGGGGAGGGGGTTTAGGAGTGTGAGGATGGGGAGGATAGGGAGGGCTGATGATCTTTTGCTTGATATTTGGGGTGATGGTTAGATGGGGTTTGGAGAGGGTGGTTGGTTGGTTGGTTTTGGAGAGGTTGGTTGGAGTTGGGTTGGGTTGGGGTGAGTTGAGTTGAGTGTTTAGTCTGTTTTTAGAGGTTATGGAGGACTACTCTGGCTCGGTTGGGCGGGCTGGCAGTTTGGTTTGGTTTGTTGGTTGGTGGGTTTGTTGGGTGGGTGTCGGCGCTGGAGCTTTGTGGGAGATGGAGTTGTTTGATGGTTGGGGGTGGGGGTGGGGGGTGGGGAGAGGGAAAGACGGGGAGGGAAGGAAGGGAGGGAAGGAGGGAAGGGAAGGGAAGGGAAGGGGAGGAGGAGTTGGTTGGTGGGTGGGTTGGTGGGTGTTTATTTGTTTTGTTTTATTTTTTAGGGAGTGTACCGCCGATGATAGACATTGTCAAGCGTGGATGGAGTCTTGCATGTTCTGACTCTGGGCTGTCGTTGAATGTATAACTGTATCGGCTCAGTGTTTGTTAACCCCCCCCCCCTCCGCCTTGCCCAGTGCTCTCGCTTAAATCTCGTTGTCAATACAGCCTGCCTCGCTTGCTATAAAGTGACGGAGAAAGGGTTTAGGGACAGAGAGGGTATTCGAAAATATGATCGAGAGAGGCTGACAGAAAGCATTTTTCAAATTGGGATTTTAGTGTAGATTTCATTGGTGGGTTGATGGAGTTGCAGATGAGAATGAGGGAGTGAGTGAGTATCAAATGTGTATGTACAATGTAAAGAGTCACCTTTGTTTAGGCAAAGGTGAAAGAGAAAGAAAGTGTTAGGTTGAGCGTTTGTAGAAAGGGAATGGAAATAGGAATGGGAATAGGAATAGGAATAGGAATAGGAATAGGAATAGGAATAGGCGAGTACTACGATCAATTGAATTGCCTACGTGATCAAATATTCCACTACTCCGAGGTATAAGGTCCCAGCGTAGTGCTTGAGAGGGCGTCATCATCGCAAAAGAAGACGGATCTGTCGCCTCTAGCTGACGAGTACACCTTGGACTGACATGCTAACGCGGATTCACCTTCCCTTCGATACCTTTTAGACAGATTCGAAAGTCGACGAGAGTGAGAAATATTGATGGCAGCAAGGAAGTTGATAATGTTTAAAGGATAGCGACTGCTTGGAGGAAGTTTTACGTCATCAACTTTCCATGCTCAAGTTTGAAACTATCGGCTCGTAAGTGCTATTTTCTGCGTTTATGTTTTGGAAAGAGCAGGTATGTAGCTGCTTCATCGGGATACTATCTGCTTGACAAATTCCCTGGAAGCGGGATGGAACTGTTATTGTTGTTATTATTGTTGTTCTTAATTTTGTTGTTGTTATTGTTGTTATTGTTATTGTCGTTAAGGTATTTATCAACATCCAGCGGGTTACAAGCGTACCTTAGCAAGCGCCTACCACCCTAGGACCTCCCGAAGGATACAGAGACGTGCAAAGCCGAGGACTTATCGGGATCGAGTTCAAGGTTGAACATTCTTGCTTGCTTCTTTCCATCCCGTCTTCCCCGTCTTCGATCTCGAATACTTTCTTTCTCTGCTAGAGAAAATGCTTTTAAGGTGGCTAGGAGACATATATTGAACCCAGGTCTCCATTCAATCAAGCCTTCGGGAACGGCTTGGGGTACAGTATTCACACCTCGTCTTTGGCGAATCGGTAAATCAAGCTATCAGAAGAGAGCTATGTATGTGTGTATATCATCAGCTACGAACAAGCCCGAGAACTAAGAATACATAGCACGCACAAGAGCGCCAACAAAAAAGACACCAGAACGTGAATAGTAGCTACGTACGACGGAATGAGCGAGGGGGTGTCCTGGAGATTTAAATTACTATACACGGACGGGCACGCGATCAGAAATAATACTGAAAGCGTATCTAGAACAAACCCAGAAGACTTATCAGAAAATCAAAGTTCTGAGGCCGCGACGTTGTGTTTTATACGAGCAAGAAGGATGGAGGACTACGTCTCTGCGTGGACTAGGTATAGAGGTCTTATTAGTATACTCAAGAGGCTAATGCAACGTCAGGGAGAAAACGAAATTGTGCTTAGTTAACGATAACATGGACAACGTCCTTTCATTCACAACAAGATTATTTTTGACAGCACATTTGGAACTTTCGCGGCGCAAATATATATGTATATTAGCGACTCTTTTATCATTGACCGCACGACTATATAGCGGTCGCGCCAAGGAAGTCCTGAGACTTTTGCCTACTTAGATAGGAATGAATGGTTTTCCAATGTGCGCAGCACGGTCAGGCCAGGATAGAGGACCACGCAAAGTGGGGGAACGAAGGATGATCATTATCTATAGAAGGAGGGAAGGCTATATAGCTACGGGGCATGAGCTAGCGGTTCCTGCTCCTATTTACTCCTCCCCCCCTGTGGATGAGCACCCGCGAACTGAGAGTTTCAGCTGAGGGTATCGTCCGGTACCTAATTATCGTTCGCCTACTGGAATTATATAAGTCAGGTTAAGGTTCCTCCCCGCAGCAAGTGTTAGCTTAGCCCCCCTTCTGGAAGACTTCCTATTCATAAGGTACCGATAAGATCACCCACCCCGTCTTGCTGGGTCGAAACTCGGTATAATCCCTCCTCCTTTTGAAAAAGGTATAGTGGCGGAGGCAAACCTTGCGGGTGAGAACGAACGAGCTAAGGATCTCATTTCTTCGATTTGCCTACCCAGAGACTGGCCCTGTTTTTTGCGATGAGCTGTGGGATGAAAGAATTTTGATTCTGTGGGCAGAAGCTTTACATTGGGGCCTGCACAGAAGAAGTGAAGGTTCAGCGTTAAAAATAATTAGATGGAAACAGAAGAAATGATAACGGGGAGTGTATCAACAGTGTTGTATTAAGAAGAATAACAGGTAATCAGTCGCCACTGCTTTGCTATATTATCGTTGGTTGACAGACTATAGCTGCTCTTAAGTTCGTCAGCGGTTTTGACTTGGGCGGCCCAGCTATCGTCATCTGGTTAGAGAGTCATATCTTCGCCACTTAGAGATAGTAATAAGGCACATTGAGCTGGACCTGGACCGCCATCATCCTGCGGAATGGTAACGCAGCTTCTGATTCCTTCCTCTCTCTTGAGTCCTAGATGGTGACGATCAATGCTTCCCGTTGTATGTCTTCCTTGATCCCGCCGACCATCGCGGCATTCACTAGAACGGTCCTCCTCTTTGAACCACCTCGATGGCCACCGAGTAGAGAAACCACCATCTTCCCCAAGCCCAGCCATGGTCCTCTGAGCCTGAGAGCCCGCTCATAAGCTCTCTCGAATCCGTCCCATAGAATCGTTCTCTTACCGTGCCCTGCGTGGATGTGTCCGAAAACATGTAACAGTGGTGGCTCTGCGCGAATCTCTTCAACCAGATAAGAACAGCCAAGTTTGTCGAGGTCGAGGTGATATTTGGGAGGGCCATGGGTGAGTAGAATGTCGGTATCTTCAGGGATAGCATCTTTCCAAATGTCTGTCCCGTCACGAGGGTACTGGAATGCCTAATTCCCGTGCTTCGGTGTCCAGGGGCTCCCCTAAATTTCCAGAGACCGGCCGTCGTGGAAATGGAGAGTAGTAGAAGAGTCTTGAAGGTAGATCAGGGAGCGTCAGTCCACAGACGCAACTTTATTTCCGTCGTCTCTAACTTCTTCGATGGATCTAGAAATAAATCGTGATTTCCGGCTATGACCACCTTGAACTTGTGAGGTTGTAAGTCGAGCCAATCTATTTGCTTTTGTAGCTCCACGACAGATCCAGACTGTGTGAAATCACCGGAGTGTAACAGAAGCTCTCCACCAGAAAGTTCTGGCTGCGTGTGGTGAGTTTCTGAAATGAAAACCACGGAAATTCCGTCCTTGGTTAATAAATGTTGCTGGTTCGAACCGAGAATAAAGTGCTTTCGCGACAAATGTGAGTGGCGACAACAGGAAACGCTCTGATTTACTCGGGCTACAACGGTCCAAGAGAACCTCGAGGCCAGCTTAACAACTGCGCATCTTTCCAAACATTATGTATGGTATTGAAGGGAAGAGGATCAAATCATTAGAAACAAATGTTTCTGATAGTTGAATATGCAATATGGCCGCTAGCGGTCACAACACTACTACATTTGGCCACTATAATGATTGCTACGGTTTGCCCATGTGACCAGTCATAAAAACAATTCGGGACGCATAGATTTGGTGTTAGTTACCAATAGCTGAATAGCGCCAAAAAGACACAATAACTGAAAACGCTTCTCCATTAGCTATTCTACTATATATAGAATCCTTAGTCAGCTCTCCTGACTAAGCCTTCTACTCCTGACATTTAGGCATCTTCAATTCCGATTAAAGCAATTATGAATGAACAGCGCCTATTTACTCTTGAATATCGATTCGAAATGTCTCTTCGCTCCCATCGTCACTTCCATTAAGAACTCCAGTAGAACGCAGCAGGTCTCCACCATCGCTATGACTTGTCCTCCGAAATTTTAAGCGAACATGATTCTTCTTGGATATATCTAAAAGGTACTCCGTGTTTAGCTCCCATGGTTTTTCCTTTGTCTCCCTTCGCAGCCTGCGCTCTTTGGTAGAAGGATACAATTTTGGGCGGGAATGATGCCGAATCCCGAGGCTCATGAAATGGATTGCTATTCGTATCAGACGCGGCTTGGAATCCATAGTATATACCATGATGCTCATGGCCAGTTTTCGTCCCGAGTGCCCAAGAAGTTCGACACATTGCGGAACTGGTCAGGCTCTGCCTCAACTGGGTTGCCTATGATGCAAGGTTGGGGGTCGAATTTGATAGGCGACCTGCATTTTCCTATTCGAAACTTCATACCTTTGTTTCTCAAAAGCCATAATGGCTAGCATTCTTTTACTAGCCGGTTTTAAAAAGACTTCTCAGACATCAAGGGGTCCTTCCAATAATAAATTTAAATTTCTCGCTTAATTCTGACTGTAAGCAAACCCCGCCTCTCGATTGTATTATCCGATATCAGACTTTTGCGCCGAGAAATTTTCAATACCCAGAAACAGCAATCTAAGCCCAATTAATTTATGAGCCGTTCATTCGATGCGTATTGATGATATAATTGGCTTTGTGCGAAGAATTTTACATGCTTAAGCGTAGGATCTAGCTAAAAGCTTTCCTAAAAAGAAAAAAAAAAAAAAGGAAATAGTTGCTATAATTCGATCCTTATTATGGTTACGGGTGTGGAAGTTTAAACAGGTTCACCTGGTATGGTTGCCAGAGCGTTACCCTAGCCATACCCAGGGATGGGGTCCGAAGCCTAAGTCAACGTGACAGCTTGCCTTAACTATATATTTAAACGACGAAAGGCTGTCCACAGCACTTAGACGAGCTGCAAAAGAGCTCTCTTTATGTGAAGTGATGAAACAGCTGTCATTACTTCACCAGTTGCAGAGAGAGTGTATCAGCCAATTTAATTATAAAATGGAGGAGGGAGCAAGGGAGAAAAAAAGGATTATTTTTACATACCGTTTTTCCAACCGTTAGAATTTCAATTGTTGAAGCTACTTATCTGAGTTTGCATGGACCAAGTAATACAAAAATCTCGCTTTTGTTTACCCGGATCCCGTGCCGAGCTTTTCGAGAGCCCGAAGACTGTCTGTCGTTCTACGATATAGTTAGACAGAGTCACGGAATACACTTCGGTAGGACCGAGTCAACAAACATGCCCAGACACAGCATGCTATCAACAAGGAGGAGAAGGATTTCTTAAAGAAGCTCCAAGACGACATCAGCAACTACGAGGAGACCAGCGAGCTCGATGTTCCTAACCCCGAAGAAGAGTAAGGACCCAGTGAAAGGATCATACATAAGAGAATAATGCTGATATATATCAATCGACTAGCTTCTACCAAGCAAAAAATCATGCACCCCTCTGAGCCAGCCAACCAAGAATCTCCGCCTGCCGATACCAGCAGAGGTGGAGAAGCTCTACTCGAGATTGTTGACAGTTGTTCGATAATCTGTATCAAAGTATGCCGGACAGGATGGAAGCTTATATCGCGGCTAAAGGCTAGCATACCAAGCATTAAGGTCCGTGCGCATTCGAATAATTAAGCTTAAAAATAGGAAGAATAAAGAGATCTAAGGAGTCGAATAATATTGGTTTTATTTGATTTGGATGTGTGATTATTGCGCAATTGAGAAGTGATGGCTGAATGTCTAAAGTTGATTTTGATGTTCTCGCTTAAGTGGCCAACAGCAGTTGCCTAGTACTGTATCAATCCACTCCACGGGGACTCAAAGGTGAGCTACGAAAACAGGAGGAGTGGGCAATTGTAATACTAACTGTTTTCAGGGTTCTGCAGAGCACGAGACCAAGTTCGTCACTTTCGATATCGAGAGCACCGACACCACAAGCCGTGAGCATACTAAGCAGGGTGAGCCAAGATCAGGCATTGAAGGTCCCCAAGACTTGCTCGGCGGCGGCGACGACGAGCCAGGCACAACTACTGGCGATGCTGAGGTTCTGGTCGGCGACAATAAGAGCCGCAGATTCAAATCCAAGCTAGAGGTAAGCTTCACCAAGTCCACCATCCATAGATACACCTATAACAACTAACACACACCACCAAAACCAGCACCAGCACCAGCACCAACATCAAGCATCCCCAAGACGACAGAATTCTTCCTCACGCCAAGAAATCCACACTTTCTACCGATACCGATAGCCCTGCTACCAACCATCCCCAAGACGAGCAGCCCACCCAAGCCGATCAATCGCCCAGCCCACCCAAGTCAAGTCAACTCCTTCCCGACCCAGAGATTCGCAAAGACAACGACCCTCGACCCTGCCAATATCCGAGGCTGAGGCGACACGAGAGATTGGGGGGGGACTGTGCGGCTGTCTCACGTTGCGTGTTTGGAATGGCATCCGGGAAAAAAGCGGGTGATACCTACGGTATTTTGGCTGGGCACACACAGACACACACACACACTCTATCTCTGCAAGAATATTGCTCCTCGTAGTTGATATGGATGGCGTTTCCTGTTTGAGATATGTACCCGGGTGCGAATAGCCTATTCTTTGTTTTCTTTCTCTTCTTCCGATTTATATATATATATATATATCTATATATATGTATTTTGGAGGCAGAGCGCAGGACAGGAGGGTCATCAAAGGCCGTACTTTACTTAAGAACTGAATACAAACACTGCGTATTTCTTTTTTTGGGGGGGGGGGGGGAAATGGGAAGCGTAAGAGGGAGTAGGAAGAGCTGGTTTTGATAGGTCTCTCTCAGTGGTAGAGGAGCAAAATTATCAGGTAAGATAAGATAAGATAAGCACTGGCTTGTCCCTGATGTCTCGACAGAGGCATTGTTGATAATACTGGGAGACCAGGAAGCATACGAGTGGTTCTAGAGGTACGGGAGGAGAGCGAATTCTTCAATGGTATTTTATATATGATGCTGGATATGTTCGGGATATCAGGTGGCGCTGGTGAATACCACGTTCTCGTTACCGACCACGGTCTGCAGCCAAGAGTTAGTACCTGTCCAGCGCTGGAGCCGATGCGTGTCACTTACTGTAAGGACATTTTGACTGATTCCCGTAACATTTCCGCTCGGGTTCGTGCCGATGATGTTGGAGTAGCCGTTCATTACCAACTGGATACCGGAAACGAAGCCTTGTCCATCGAAACCGCAGTGCCCTCCTCCATTCGGCGTGTTGTCGACGGTCTGTAGGGCCCCGATCTGGTCAGCTGAAAGGCCGGCGTCGGTAGCCAGCTTTTCGTACGCCATGACGGATTGCGGGATGGAGCCTTGCAGCAGAGACAGCTCGTCCTTGGTGCTCTGGAAGTGGATCTTCATGTTGGAGATCAGATTGGCGCTGTCTACAACGGCAACTTGGGGAGCCATCCCCCCACAGTTCAGAACGACGCCGGTCTTGTACATGGCACCGTAGGCCGGGACGAAGTACCCAGACATGAGGAGCGAGCCGCCGGAGACGCCCGTGAAGTAGACATTTCCAGGATCAAACGAAACGTCCTGGGCCATCTGGGTTTGAATCAGAGTGTTCACGGCGGCAGCGTGCGCGACACCATCCGTCCGTTGAAGACCGCTGCCCCCACCCCAGAACATCTTCGTGTTTGGAGCCAATACGACCACGCCCATCTTGTTGTCCTGGACCGCTTGATTGGGAAAGTCGAAGAAGGATTGTCCGCCATCGCCATGGAGAAGAACATTGACTCCCATTGTGCCATTCCCCGTAGCTGTGCCTCCGGGAACGCCCGACGCGGCAGTAAATTGATTTGCTGGGGCACTGATCTTGTATCGAATGTTCAGGCCGCTATGGTGGTCATGTTAGAATCCATTTCCAGATTCCCCGAGGGATCGGACTTACTTGATCTGGACTGACTTGTCCAATATCATCGAGCCGTCGGTCGCCTGAGTAATTGTAGTAGGTACAGCTACTCCATTACTACCATCTGAGGCCCCAGCATTACCGTTTTTCTTCGGCAACGACTCGACGGGTAGGGCGAACAAAGCAAGAAGAGCGAAACAAAAGAGACGGATCCACGATTCCTGCATTATGAAAAAAAAAAAAAAAAATAGAGAGTCAAGCAACGCGAGTATCGAATCTACCGACAGCAAAGCAAAGAATAAAATTAGCGAAGAATAAAATAAACAAAGATAAAAAGACAATCAAGAATCAGAATCGCTGGCAGAAGAACGGAGACCCGGTTGATGGGACGAAGGCCCTTATAGCCTGGTTGAATAAGCTTCGCGCTTCCAAGAAGTCTTGAAGCATCCAAGCTTTGTCAAACCGCCAAGGCCGTTTCTCTTCGATCCATTTCTGGGGGAGATCATGGGCGAGCGCACTGGTGCGGGAGCTTCCGTTTGACTTGGCAAGGAGAGAGCTGGTTTGACAGTTGGCCCAGGCTTCTACAGGAGTATCTTGTGCGAGAAAGTCATTTGGTATCCATAGCATCAATGTACAATTGCCACTACATATTATGGCCGTCGTAGGTGAAGATCTGGAAATTGTAAAGAAGAGGGCAGTAGGTCAAGTCGTCAAGTAGCGTAAGCGAGCATTGGCACAGCTTTAGTATCATATATATCACGTGGTATCTTTCTTATCATCGAGCTCGAACGCAATGGGACTACGCCTCTCCGTAATATATTTCACTCAAGGGCGGTTTGAAAAAATTAGTTTGGCCAATTGATCCAACTTCTTCAGAAAGTTGCTACTTTTCCAAACGCACAAACGGCTGGCTGCATATTTGCAATACCTTTCCATCAAGCTTAACAGCTGGCCGTATCGGGACTAGCTATGTCGACCGTATTCATTTAGAAGTCCATTGCGATTATGATTAACGGGTTCTTGGATGTTGTAAAAAAAAATATGTATGAAAATAAGAAAATAGCGACTTAATCAAGAGGCCAACTTCGTGCGGAGTAGTTGCCACTTCACGCCTGCGACTGCAATTGCGTTTGCCAAACGAACGTCTTCCAGGGATCGGAATCAGTTTGATTCTAAATGCATACTAATTATAAACCAGCTCGTAACCGGTCTCCGGGAAGTTTCCTTTCCTTTTCGCTAATGCGCAGCAGCTGCTATTTGAAATCAACTTCTTCGAAAAAGTAGAGATCACGCCTGGTCTGTCAAAAGCCCTCCTACATATAGGTAAAGGAATGGCAAGCTTCAGCTTGTAGCAGTGGACCAAAATGTCACGAAAATTATGGAGTCCTTCCATATCACGTGTATCTCGCATCAAGGGGAGAGAAAAAAAAAACCATGCGTTACCCGATGTCTCGCATCGAGGGGCCGAGACTACCTAGGTTACCTTCCCGTTGCAACGAGTCAGGATCATGAATCTCTATCTATGCATAGGAGCTCGTATGTGGGCATCTAGGCCTTTCAGAGCATCATCGTTCAAGCATCAAACCTACAGAAATCAATCGCTATCTTAACACTCAATATCGCAGCCTTGATCGATGAGGGAAAATGATCGATGAGGGGGAAAACGTAAGGAACGCGCGGATGACGGCGAGAAGGGAGGGAAGCGGCTTCGAGAAATAACCAGTCTTCAAAATGAAAACGTTAATAGTGATACGCAGCACTACGGATAGAGAAGGATCGAAGACGACGCTTCGAGAATGGAAATGGTCGAATTTCACATGGCTACCATGAGAATGGTAAGAAAGAAATCTCCAGAATGATAGCGACAAAGAAACGGTGGGTAACAGATGTGGAGAAGTAATAGAGGGTTGCTTGCAAGGTTGGTTGATGATTGATCTCTAGGAAGCTGAATGCAACGTAGGGTTACCGGTCTATCTTCCTCTACTGGTAGTCTGTGCACCTTAGTAGCCTAGTGATGATCCAAGGCCACACAATAACAACGTCATCAAAGAAAAATTCGAAAATAAAGTCTCATTCAGAAACACATTTTATATAATTTTTTTTTTTTGGACGGAGATCATTTTTTTTAAAAAAAGAGCGTATTGTTCCGACATGCCAAACGGAATGCATATACAATTATATTCATGGGGGAAAAAAAAAGAAGAGAAAAATCAGTCTCATTCGTTCCTTCCAGATTCAGAACCTCGTCATCCATTACTTCGTTATCCATTTCCCATTTCCCGTTTCCCATTTTCCATTATTCGTTTCCCATTTTCCATTACCCATTTCCCATTTCCCAGTACCCATAACTTCATGATACAATACTCGTTATCCATTTCCCATTACCTCCACCACCATCACCATCATCTGCCCCTTGTAAAACAGAATCAGAAACCTCGGCCATCAGATCGAAGCAAGAAAGCCTGTAGCAGAAGAAGAAGAAGAAGAAGAATCAGTAAAAAGGGTTCCCTGGCCCGGAAAGGAGAGGAGAGGAGGCATAGCTTACATCGTTCCGAAGGTGACGGCGTTCAGCACCGAAGCGATCCACCATATCATTAAGTGATCCCTTAGCTGCGACGAGAAAGTACCGAGTTAGAATGATGTGCCCACCTCAGTCACGTCAAGGGTGAGGAAGAGGTTCGGTCCAACTTACATGTGCGCGTCAGGTATACCTGGCACCCGACGCAGAGTCTCAACGGGCAGGAATCGCATCCGTAGACCGCCAGCTCGGTACAGATCATACAGTGCTTCCAGCGACCGTCGTGGACCTCCACGCCATTCTCGATTCTGCCCAGCCCCTGATACATCAGGTGTCCCGTCGCCAATCCGAGGACCTGGTTCAGCGGGGTGAAGGCGGTGTGGTGGTGGTGATTCATGATGAAGGTCTTGAGTTCCTTGCAGTACGTGCAGATTTTGGCCTTGGTGAAATCGACTTGGCGATATGGGAATCCGCGGCAGAAGTTGGGGCCCTTGGATCCAAAGTATGCTGCGGGAGCTTGTTGGAGGTTGACGGCGCGGGCGGATGGAGCTCCTCCTCCCATGTCAGAGTTGGGGGTGGTAGGTGGCATGCGGTCACCCAATGTCTTGTGATGTGGCTCGTGGACACCAGGGATGGGACTTTGAGGACGATTAGGCATTGTGAAAGTCATATCATAAGTCGCATTACCGGCTGGACCAGCAGTGCTCGAGAGGGGAGGATATTGCGAGGGAAAATTGACAGTAGGGCCCATGTCAGGAACACGTTGGGGACTCCTATTTCTCATGGGGCCCATATCAGGAAGAGGTTGAAGAATCATGTTTCCCATGAGAGTATTTGGGGTCGGAGCTGAGCGGTTCTTGATGGGAGCGGCCTTTGTAGGAGGTTTCGCAGCCTGGATCGCATCATGACCAGACTGGAGAGGGGCTTGAGCTCCATTCGGGTCTCGAGACATGGCCAGGGCCATGCGATGAGCCTTGATCCTCTCCGTTCTCCTCTCGCTACGCATCTCGTTCAGGGCCTCCTGATGGAACTTTTGCTCTTCGCCCGATGTCGGCAAAGGTGGTACGATGCTCTGAGCGCTGTTATCCTGATCTGTCGCCCGTTGCCCCCCGCTCGATCGACCAGGAAGTTCGCGAGCTTGCCATTGCCACAATTCCTGAGCAGCCGTGTTAGGTGCATAGGAACAGTCATTGCAGAATCCCGCGGATGCCTCGATTGGAAGCCAAACCCTCGTATTATTAATGCCAGAAGGGCTTTCGAAGAAGCAAAAGTCGCAGAGCCCCAAGTCTTCCTTGTCTCGCAATCGGACTCGTCTCCGGCCTGGACCGAAAGGTTGTGGATCCGGCTCCCGAGAACCAACGATAGACAGCATGTTCAAGGCGATAGCCAAATTTTTTGGGGGCTGTGATGGTTGCAGTTGGGGTTGGGGCTGCGATTGCGGTTGCAGTTGGGGTTGCGACTGCGGTTGCGGTTGGGGTTGGGGTTGCAATTGCGATTGGGTGTTGAGAACTTCATCCAGCAGCTCATTATCTTTTGCGTCCTGGATACGTTCAAGATTAAGGGTTAGAGAATGAGTAAGACGGAGTCTCTCTTTCTCTTCATCGGTCTGATCGGGCTTATCTGTCAAAACTGCTAAACGAGTTGCCGCCAACGTAAGGGCATCCTTTGAAGGCTTTCGCCATATCGGAAGACGGTATGCACGATCGTTGCGCAGGTGTGAGGGGTCGACTGTTTTGTCCTCCTCCTCCTCCTCCTCCTCCTCCACCTCTCGGTCCAGGGGGGGGGGAGCTGGATGGATGATTCTGAAGCCAAAGCCCGACTCAGCCTGAGCTTGCACGGGACCAGGGGATTGGGACGGGACATCTCGATTCGCCTCCTGGTGCGCCAGGAGCTGGTCGATACTAGGATAGTAATAATCATCGTCTTCGAATGCTAGGAAATCTTCGAAATTTACGGACTCTTCAGATTCTTGAGCCTCCGGAGGAGCCATCTGGTTCGCCATGTGATCCTCGCGAGGGGAGAGCTGGTCGATGTTAGGAAGGGGAAAGCCATCATCTCCGAATCCTTGAGCCTCCGGATGCGCCATCTGGTTCGCCATCTGATCCTCACGAGGAGAGAGCTGGTCGATGTTAGGAAGGTGAAACTCGTCATCATCATTCTCTTCGAATCCTCGATACTCCGGATTCGCCGCCTCATACTCCGCGAGAGCCTCAGTAAAGTAACCAGGATCATTTCCGAATTCTCGGCCCTTCGGATGCGCCGCCTCATACGCCGCGAAGGCATCAGCAAAGAAGCCAGGGTCATCATCTCTCCAGTCAATTTCGGGCTCTGCCGCCTCCTCCTTCTCCTCCTCCTCCTCCGGCTGTGGAATTAGGACTGTTGGTTGGAGTGAGGCTTGGGGTTGAGGCTGTTGGAACTGTTGAGAAGGTTTCGAAGGTCGAGAAGCTTCAGCAACTTGTAGAGGAGGGCAGCTGGCAGAGCTCACCTGCCTAGTAGACGGTAAGGTGCCTGGCGCATCGATCTTGAGATTCTCCATGATCGCTGGTAGTTGTGGTGTTGATGTAGATGTGGACGTGGGTAGGAGCGGTTCCTGCTCAAAGGCAGTCGACTGCTCGGAAGGATTGACAGTGGGAGGAGGGACGAGGGCGGGAGGGAGAGCAACAGCCACAGCGACCTGGTTGCGATGATGATCAGCCACAGGAGCAGGACGGAACTTCAACCCGTCCTCGTAGTCACCGTCGCTGTCGTCCTCTGATTGGTCAATCAAGAAAGAGCTAGCTGCTCGCCGCTTTTGCTTCCGGTTCTGCTTCCGAGAACGAGTCGGAGTCCGAGAAATGGGATTCCGAGAAATGGGATTCTCAGAAATAGAAGGCGCGGGGCCACTCGCAGGCGGCAGAGCAGCAGCGGCATCTGTTCGAGCTTGAGGATTGCCATTGCTATTGTTGCTGCCGTTGCCAGTGCCAGTGCCAGTGGCCAGCTCTCCCTCGCACCCCGACTCGCTCTCCTGGTCTTCATCCTCATCCTCAACTGCAGTAGTAGCAGCGGCTGCCAGGCGTCTGATTTGCTCTTGGGCCTTCGCCGCGGCGCGGCGCTGGGGCGCCATGGTCGGAGTTGATGGATGAGTTGGAGTGGTCGAAGAGGTCGAAGGTTGATGAAGTTCGGTGCGTGTCCGAAGAAGGTCGAGGGTGGAGATCGGAAAGGGGAAGGGTGTGTGGTAGCTCGCTTTGTTAGCGTGCTTTGCTAGCTTTGTTTACATCGCCGATAAGTCCGATAGGCGACGGCACGTTCACATAAGGTGAGCCCCTAAAACCATACTCAAGGCAAATAGAAGCAGCTCAATAAAGGTGACCAATCAGATTACGAGTGCATACGGACATCAAGGAGCGAAAGCAAAGCAAGTGTCAATGGAAGCAAGATGACCACCAGAAAGCGCAAGCATATAAAAAAGGGGCCAGGAGATCGTAAAGCTCTTCATATTCCGTCGTCATCGCTTGGGGTATACTACAATAACCGTTTCAAAACCCTTCTTCGCCCATATATCTCGTCAGTCATTGTAGAGCTCCCGTTCAGTGCCCCGATCCCGAGACCTGAGCATCTTCAATGCTCTTCATGCTCTCCTCGATCGCCTTCCTCAAAGCCTCCTCGTCAGCTTTACTCATCGGCTCATTATCGTGTTCCTGTGCTGCAGGAATGTCTTTCTGTTTGGCTTCAACCGCCTTTTTATGCTCCTCTTCTAGGAGACTCTGCTTCTTTACGTAATCTAATACAATTTCCTCTTCCGTCTTAGCCCTTGCCGAGTCTTCTTTACTGTTCTGCAGAGCGAGTTTCAACTCACTGTCCTCATCAAATTGGGGAGCCTCGTGCTTGGACATCTGGATGGCGAGCTTGAGATCCTCGTCTTCAGCATCATGGTCTGGTGAGGCATGTGACAAACTGGCTTGAATCGCTTTCTCCAAGGCAGCCTGATATTCAGCCTCATCTTCAGTTACGGTGATCGGCTGGCTCGTGTCCCCCTCGGGATGCGAATTTAGCCTACCAGCTGACAAGATGCTGGCTTGGATTGCCCTATTGAGAGCTTCCTGGTTCGTCCAGGGCCAGGTCGAGCCTTGCGCGCTCTGTAGCTCCCGGACACTCGCGCGAATAGCACGCTCAATCGTCATATCCTCTTCAACGTTACCGCAAGAGGTCGCGGCCACTGACTCACGAATTGCGTGTTCGAATTGTTCATTCTGATCTGTATCTGGCTGCTGGATGGCCATGGGAGTGGTCTGTTCGGCACGAGGCTTGTGACTCTGGCTGGTGTCTCGGCGACAGGAAGGGCAATGTTTGTAGCCGGATGCTCCCTCTTCGAATATCTTGCGACGGGCTTTGCGGTCTTCATGGAGCTTCTTTCTTTCATCGAAGGTCATGTGTCGAGTCTGCATAAATCCTTTAGGCGTGAGACATCTGCATTCTTCGCCATCCAGCGGCCCTGTTTCTTGAAGCTTCATCTTCGCGCTCTGATACTCGTCTTTGTGCTCGCGCCATCGGGTTATGATGTCGGCACGTTCAGCAGGCGTTGATGCTTGGGCGTCTTCGTAACCTTGGGCAGTACGCGCTGAGATGATGTAGTTCAGAACACTGGATCCGAACAGTTTTCGAACCTCTCTGTGAATCCCCATGAATGTGTAGCCCGGAATTCCCCAGATAGCTGATAAAGTTAACAATAGATTCCAGTAGAACAAGCAAAACTGGGTAAATACCTGCGCCTGGCTTGAGGATGAGCCCTCCAATACCCTTTCCCATCCCCTTGACAAGACCGACAGCACCTTCTTTCTCGGCACCTTTGAGAGGTTGTGTTACCAAGCCTGTAATCCCATCGAACAATCCATATCCGAATTCCTGTTGCTTGTCAGTATGGCATGTTCAAGAGTATGGGCGAGGCCAGTTACCTTTCCGGCAGCCTTCAGTCCACTCTGGAAGTCGGTGACCTTCTCTTGGGGGCGCACGGTGTCATCTCCGTAAAGCTTTGGCGCATTGTGGAAGCCGCGTGCAATTCCCAGTGTGAAATCCATAGGTGACTTCAAGCCAGCGCCTACGATTCGAGATATTCCCTTTCCGGCTCGAGTGGCGTTCTCCAGTGTTAGCTTGCTAGGATCAAATTCCTCTGTTTCTCTGCGATGGTGGCCGAACGGCGAGCTGGATCGCGAGTCCGGACTACAGTCCTTGGAATTGGATCGCGACAGTGGACAAGCTTGAACCCTCGAAAACGATCGAGAGCCTTTCCTCGAGAGCGTCCCTTGGAGGGCTTGCTTTAGCGAGCTTCCGCCGGATGTTGCGCTAGTCAGAGGGGTGCCAGCTCTTGGAGCATCAGTCAAGGACTGCGTGGCGCTTTCGCCAGAGGTCTTCGTGGTCGTAGTCGTTGTCAGGGTAGATCCATGCCGCGAGTTTCTATCGTTTCCGCTTGGTGTCTTTTGCAAGCCCATATCGACTTGCGTATGAGACTGCTTTTCGGATTCGGATGCTGAAGATGTATCTAAGCTGGAGCTGGGCTCTGTCCCTTTTGGGACGGTAGCGCTATTCACATCTACTGTCTCTGCTCGCTTCAGATTCGCCTTCTTGACTGTCCGAAAGATTTCGATGGGAAAATCCGCGACACCCATTCCAAGACTGGCAATGGTCCCCAAGAGAGCAGATGCACCGCCTGAAATAGGATCCCAGGGACCTTCCTCTGTCTCGTATTCTCGTGGACGATACCTGCGCGTATTAGCATCTGTTCGGCTTCATGCGCCAGTACTTCTTACAGCTTCAGGTGCCCAAAGTCAACCAGTCCTTCACTTGCAAGAATGTTTGCGGCCAGAGCACTGAGGCGAGTCTGGGTACGCTTGACTCGCCACACTGCAACTCTGCTAGGCGCAAGAGAGCATCGTAATTGATCAACATCCAGCATATCGTGAAAGGCCTTTCCACCAGTCTCGCAACCTTTCTCTTGCTTGATCTTCGCCCCCAGATCTTTTGCTCTCTCCAAAGTTTCTGGTTTGAGAGCTTCGGTAATGGCTGCAGCTAACTTATCGGAGGTAAGCTGCTTGTATGGGATCGGGACTGGTCCTGCTCCTGCACGAGCAACCATTGCACCCCAGAAGGGTTGGTCGCCGAAGAAGGGGACAACCACGGTAGGCTTGCCAGTGGAAATGCCAGCAGCCGTAGTGCCAGCTCCTCCATGATGAACAACGGCTGAGACATGCTGGAACAGCCAATCGTGGGGTACATTACCAAGCATAAAAACTCCTTCGGGTATCCCTAGAGCATCGGCCCCGAGCCCGCCCCAGCCTTTGGACACCAGAGCTCTGATACCAGCTTTCTTCACCGCGTCGAATATGAGCTTAGTCATTGCATCTGGGTCGTCAACTACAATTGATCCAAATCCGATGTAGACTGGTGGTGGCCCAGCAGCAAGGTACGCAACAAGTTCTGGTTCAGGTGTAAAGGAAGAAGCTAGCGACAAGAAGTAGAATCCTGATATCGTAATATGCTGTGCCCAATCTTTTGGCTTTGGAATAAGCGCAGGTGACCTGCTGGCCGTCAGTGTATTGCTATTGCGATTTACAGCCCGTTCCACTTACCAACAGTATGTATATGGCACTCGGAGGCGACTCAGCATACCCGGAGCCCAAATCAGACTAATCGGGTCTAGACCCAGAGCTCGCTCTCTGAAACGATTGATGACATCTCCAAGACCCTGCCATGTCATCATCTCTACTAAAGCATATGACACGAAGTTTGTCATGTTTACATCTGCGTTGGAAGACTGAATGTTGGCGAGGGGGTGAGGGAATTGTTGTGTGGGGGACCAGGGCATACTACATGTTATCAGCAATCAGGAAAAATTCGGATATGGAAAGAAGAGAGCGTACGTGAACATCATGTGGAGGGGTATGCCCATTTTCTCAGCGATATGGACATGAGCAAAACTCGGCGGATTGGCGATGATAGCATCGGCAATAAAAGGTCGGTCACCTGGGCTTGCATCCATGTTGATACCAGCATCGACGCCAAAGTCGGCAGTACTGGATGTGTTAGGAGGAGCGCCGAGACCATCCCCAGCCTCGATACATGATCTCCAGCAGCCCAACACAATTTCCTCCATTCCTTTTCTTCTCTTGCCAACATCGCCACTCTTCAACGAGTCGAGCCCGGGCATCAGTCCCGGGTTCTTGACCATGAAAGCCATCAGCTCAGAAGGGTCACCCCCAATGCTGAAGAACTCGAGCCTATTTTCTTCGACGAAGCCCTTGAAAGTTGGATGTGTTGCGAGTCGGACACGGTGACCGTAGGTGTCTTTTAGTGTCTTTCCGAGGGCTAGAAATGGCTGTACATCTCCTCTGGACCCAACTACATGCATGACCACATTAAGTTTTGGGGGCGGGGTTTGACCGGGCAGCCCCCCAAGCGCCGGCGGAATATATCCGGGTGGTAAAGGATGTTCCTTTTCGTGCGCAACCAATGACAGTTGATTCCTCAGCGCAGGTACAAGTAGATCTGATAGCTTGCGTGTCTTCTGATTGATGTTGATGTTTACTCGACCATCGTCTGTTACCTTTGCCTTCGTATCGAAGCCATCCTGACTAAGTTCCAGCTGGTCTTGGTCTTCGCCATACTCTGGGGGGTCTTCCGTCGGGACTTGGGGGTGGTGTGGTCTACGAATTAGGAAGTGAAGTATTAGCAGCTGTGATAGCGTTGACATCGCGTCGCGTCGCAGACTCACTTCGAAGCGGCTCCTCTGTTTGATTGAAGGCTATGAGTACTGGGTTGTGTACTAGATCTTGAGAATTTCGGTCTGTGTATCATTGAAGCCAGTCTTGATATTGACTCTGGCTCGTCGTCTTCAAAACTGCCAGCAATAGCAGCTTCTGCCTGTGCAATGACTGAGGAGGGCACTGCGCTATCTGCCTCTTGACCTTTGCCCTTGTTGCCCGGATTTGTAGCCATGGCTATCTTTTGGCTGCCGACTGGTATTATGCACAAGGCCGGATGATCTCCAGCTTCAGGTCACTGAACTTGTGTCTGTGTTCTGTCGGAGGAAGATTCAGAGCTCGAGCTGGAGCATAGCTGGTGGTTTATCACGCGGCCAAAGACGTCGTCTCTCGTGACTAACCCGATATATTCCTGATCTATGTATTCATCAGCGTACAGGTAGCGAACGCCGTGCGGGAAAGGATTTTAATCAGGGATTCTTAGATGAGCTCAAAGAAGAGGGAAGGTGAAAGAAAAGATCAATGAAAATGAAGATAAAGGATCGGAAGTCGGGGATAGGCAGATGGGCAGATGGAGGGGTGGTGCAGGGGTGCAGTCGAGCAGGGAATCGTGGTTACTTACTTAATCACAGGGTCTTGCCTATCAAAGTTTGGCTGTCGTGGTCTCAGTCGACCGTTATCCTCTAAAGCTTCTTTTGACGACCAACATTAATGACGACGCTTATATTATATTTTATATATACATAAGGTAGATATATATACTACACCCACTCGTACGCCAACGCCCTTTATCATTCTAGATCCTACCGACCTATCCAGCAGTAAGTAAGGTCTGGATGCAGGCTGCTGCCTTATTCGTGATAGCAGACTACTACACTTTTACAATACCGTACTGCATGCACTCCTCCGCCATTACTGCAAACACCATGGAAGAAAGCTGCAGAATGGATCGAAAGGATGGGCTGGGCTGGGCTTAACAGACGTCAAAATAGACGTACGTATGTGGCTTTCCGAGGTGTGGCTGATACCAGATTTAATAATATACTATCCCGAATGTGGCAGGTAAATAAGACTTCTAACCCGGGACACTTAAGAGCTTATACACATCAAGCTTTAGATAGAAATATACTCTGGAATTCCGTATACATATCCCCGATCATGATCACCCCTCGTAGCGCCATCCAAACCTTCATCTTCCGTATCTCATGCTATTCCTCATAATCAAATCTCGTAGATAATATCCCTCTCTTTGTTTAATCTAGATTCCGAAATCAACAGTATCGTAACTCACTCGCCCTTTCGCATCTCCTCTTTCCCTTCTCGCTTCCATTCCTACACACAAAAAAAAATTCACATTTACTTTATCGAAGCCATACCCTCGTCTACTTCCATCAACTGCGAGGAATGGCATGGTGGTTTAGTGGCTATGAGCCGCTGGCCGCTTCCAAGTACACCTGTTGATAACGAAAAACCTATTCAATTAGGTTTGTAAACTGGAACCTCATACCATCATACCTATGAATTGAGCTTCCACTTGAGTTTTGCCAAAATTTCTAATTTTTTGTATTCTTTTTTTTTCTCCTTTTTTTAAGGGGGCGGGGTTGTTGTTGTTGTTGTTGTTGTTGTTATATTCATTAACGTCAGGCGGGTGGAAGGCTGCCTGCCTGCCGCCCTAGGACCTCCCATGGGGTACGGCGACGTGCTAAGCACAGGAAATATAGAATTAGGTTTGTAAACTGGAACCTCATACCATCATACATGTGAATTGAGCTTCCACTTGAGTTTTACTGAAACTTTTAACTTTTTTTATATTCTTTTTTTGGAACGCGCGGTCGGGGGAAGGGGAGTTGTTGTTGTTATTGTATTTACTAATATCGAGCGGGCGGCAAGCAAGCCTTCGGACCTCCCACGGGGTTCGACGACGTGATAAGTACAGGAATTATATATAAAGTACTATCTGGTCGAAAGTAACCCACGTTGGAGAAAAGCTCTCTTTCAGATAGGCCCCGGTCTAGGCTTTTAAACTTGTGATGGCACACTTGGGCTTGCCTGTTTGGTTTTGTTGCCTTGCTGGAAGACCTTTCTCTTGGTGATTTATTTTATTCCTAAAGGGAAGACGCATTTGAGGGCAGCTTGGCTGGTACAACGTGAATTGCTTTCTAAGGCCGTCTTGTGTATAACTCTTTAGCTTACCACGTCGCCGTACCCTGTTGGAGGTCCTAGGGCGGCAGGTTTCGCCTGCTATCCTCCCGACGCAAATCAATACTACTACTACTACTACTTTACTATCACTGCAGAAGCCATGGAAGAAAGCTGCCGAATGTCTCGAAAGGATAAGCTGGGTTAAGATGACAGACGTTAAACCAACGTAGATATATAGCCTTCCAAGACATGGCTGATACTAAAGCCTAATATACCATCCCGCACATAATAAGCAAACAAGATTTCCAAGCCGGCACTCATCAGGCTCACACACATCCAGCTTTGAAAAGAAATACATATACGTGTCCCCGATCGTGATCACCCCTCGTAGGAATCCAGAAATGTATGCTATGCTCCATATCTTAGAGATGCGTATGGGTGTAGGTGTGGGTGGAAATGGAAATGGAAGCGGAAACGCTAATGCCAATGCTGGGCTGGCTGCGGGCGAGAGGTCCGGCTCCGCAGATGATGATAGAGAGGTCGGTGTTGTGAGAAAGACAGACGTGTTAGGCCGGGGAGGTTGCGTGGCAGTGATAGATGTGTAAAAGGGACGACGGGGATCTCGAGCTTTGCAGACTTGGAATAGAGAGATTTCTATACATGGAAGATTGAAAGACAGAAGTCAAGGAGGAGGAGGAGGAGGAGGAGGAGGAGGAAGGGCACTTTACTCATGGTAGGTGAGGAGGCTAGGCCCGGTCTAGTTTGGTCTAGTGGATATGACTCCCGCGCCTGGAACGGAGATCTGGATAGAGTTGAAGAGCTGCAGAACAGATCTGAATGGGGGTGTTCTAGGTAGGTGGAGTTACTCTAGGTAGGTATGTGTTTGGTTTTGTTATTCCTGACTACCAACTCCTGCAGACACCATAACTCTATCGAATCTAGATTCTAAAATCAGCAGTATCGAAACTCAATCTCGTAATACACTCACTCACCCCTTCGCTTTCCTTCTTCTATAAAGTGGGGAAAAAAAAATTCTATCTGCTTTATAGCAGCCAACTCCTCTCTTACTTCCATCAACAGCGAGGAATGGCATGGTGGTTTAGTGGCTATGAGCCGCTGGCCGCTTCCAAGTACACCTGTTTGATAACAACGAAAAACCTATTCAGTTAGGTTTGTAGACTGGAACCTCTTAATCCCACTCCCATGGATTTGAGTTTCCAGTTGAGTTTTGCTAAAATTCTGTAACAAAAAAATTCATTTTTTTTTCTTTTTTTTTAAAAAAAAAAAGAAGGGGGGAGGGAGGGGGGAGTCTTTTTGATTCTATAGTTGATTACTGTGAAGTACTGTATTATACGGCATACATTCTTCCGCCATTGCTAGAAAAGCTATATAAGAAAGCTACCGAATGGATCGAGGGGAAGAGGATGGGCCGGGCTGGGCTGGATTAGGTTGACAGACGTCACAACAAGCGTACGTATATAGCATTTCAAGATATATTTGTAGCTGATACCAGATCTCACAATATACTATCAGGTGGCACCGACCACTTGGGAGAGGTATATATGCTCACGTTGCTCTGAGCTTCCCCGAACAAAAACAACTATCTTGCTCCATTCTCTCCTTACTTCATTGTCTGGTGACCTACGCAGGGATCGAAGCTGCAATCTCTTGATTCGCAGTCAAGGCGTTAACAAAACAAAACGAACAAGACGAACCAGACGAACAATACCAACAGCACCACCAACACCGCAGTCCAAGAAAACACCCCCAACGCCAGTCTCCCATCAGCAAACACCACCCAAAACCAACAGCACACAACTACATTTTCCAACCCATCATTGCCCACCGAAACAACCAGAAGCTTTTCTAAGCTTCTCCAAGCTTCTCTCCACATCAACTCGAACTCTGTCCAGGGCAATGCAGCCACGAGGGCTCCTTCCCTCGCAAGCCCGAGTCACCTGCCCACTAAAATCAACCCAACCAATGACCAAGGAAGGAACGGAACAGCCCCACCCCACATTCCTGACTCAGCTTCCTCCTCAGACTCCGGAATAACATACTAACAATACCAACAGCACCTGCAACACTTCCACTTATTACCACTTCCGCTACCACTACCATTCTCACCTTCACAACACCACCCCTCGCTCTCCACTGCATCAATTCTCTTTAGAACGGAACGAAATTCACGGTCCAGACTGGGAGACGAACTTCTATCCAGAACGTACCCATGGATGATAAGATCTATTACATCGCCGTCACAATGGTCGGATAGTGACACCCAATCCCAACCCTCCAGTACCCGCCCCATCAGTCAGATCTATCCAGCGTATCCAAGAACCCAGACAGGACAGAAACCCTCCCATCTCACAGCAGAACGCCCCTTCTTCCCAGCCACAGAGACAGAGTGGGTACCAAGGAAACAACTGGAGACCCAACTATCAGAGCGGATACGGCAACAACTCAGCCGGATACACCAACTCCCAGACGCAGAACAATTCGAACATTCCCAGAAAAACCGGATACAAACTACCTTGCTCTCATTCTATCATTACCTCATTGTCGGGCCCTGATATGGAAGGTTACGTAGAACGTGCTGGTTGGTTGGGGGTAGGAAGAATCAGCCGAGGTCATGTGATATCCCTCTTACGGATGCATGTACTCTCGGCCTTGTATTATAGTTCGTCCTCTCCTCGTCTTTCTTCTACAATACCTCGCGAACGGTTAGATAGTACTAGCATACTATTCCACTCTAACCGTAATAGTTTCAGACCAGAGATAGATTATTCGCAGACCGATCCCCGCGCAAAAGACCGTCCCTTGACCGTCTTACGGTATGGTCGTCCCCGTTTCAACTTTATCGCTATACTTCTTTCAAAATTAAACTTGATTCTTCAAGATGATCTGGTAATCATCTCAACTAACATACGGTTAACATATAAGAGCTTTTTTTTTGGGTCCTTTAAGAAGACCGTTTCCAATTATAATTTGATAGATCCGTGCCAAGATATTTCGCAGTATCGCTACCACGTTACGCACGTCAACGCTTTCGTCGATTGCATGTTAGGATCGATCGATTCAGTGAGATTTTACTGATGTATCGCATGCATGCATGCTTTCGAATATTTAGGCACTGAAGTGGTCGGGGGGGGGG